ACTTTCACGGGTTTATTACGAATCAACTTAACGGCCTGCTCCCAGTTGGCTTGTTAGCTCAATTGGTAGAGCGCTGCACTAGTATCGCAGAGGTCAGTGGTTCGAATCCCGTACAGGCCTGAATTTTTTTCAGGTCTGATTTTCACTGTTGCTTAAATAGTGCTTTACTGCGAAGGATCGTGCACATATACGTTTCATAACCGCAGTTCATATATATGTATTTCATATGTTTGTTGTTTGATTTATCATCTACGGGTTTATGTCGAATTAATTTGATGGCCTGCTCCCAGTTGGCTTGTTAGCTCAATTGGTAGAGCGCTGCACTAGTATCGCAGAGGTCAGTGGTTCGAATCCCGTACAGGCCTGAATTTTTTTCAGGTCTGATTTTCACTGTTGCTTAAATAGTGCTTTACTGCGAAGGATCGTGCACATATACGTAAATTGATATCTTGTTTTTAACTCTAAAACTAAAAGTCGATCCTTTTTCTGTAATTGGTTATCTGACATCTTTCGTCCTTTCTTACGAGGCCAGCTAATTGACCGGCTTTAAATCAATTTTCCTGTAGTTGCAATCAAATGCTTACGTGTATTTTTATTTTTGTGTCGTTGTGGTATCATATCTGATAATCTCGTGTCACAAGTCCTCTCTTTTTATTTTTTTGGACCACATATCAATTAGTCTCGTCAGGTTCCGATTATTTTATTACGACCGGAACTTTGATCCAAAAAGCATTTTATTATTGTTCTTGATGTTGTAACTCAAAACTTGTTCTAGTGGTTTCTTAGTTCCATTAATGCTTTTCTTTGCAAGATTCAAATGGTATCGGTAATAATTTTGAGGGGATAAATTGTCACGGCATTTTGGTAAAACTCACCCCCAAGACTTTCTAACGTGCTACTGGAGATAAAGCTCTTCAAAAGAATCCAGTCGACTGGACTAGGGCTTCTGTGTAAGAAAAAATGTTTAAAAAGGCAAGAAAAGCGCGCAGGTGGCGTAGAATCATACCACTCTCATGTCAAAGAATACAAATTTTAAATTATATCCGTGTTTACAGTATTCTCTTTGAGTAGATAACTTACTTCAGTTCGATGCGGCAAAGGTTTCAAGTTTTTGTCGATAATCTTTTGGGACTTTTATGACTTCAACCATCACACATTGCTTGCTTGGAATATGTTTTTGTGTTTATATGTAATTTTGAGGTTTTCCTCGATATTGTGCCTTTGAATAAATAGTTTCCTCTTATTTAAATATAACCAGTGGGTATGAAATGACAACAGTATCCGGATGACGCAGAATAACAGACGAATAACGAATAACGAATAACGAATAACGAAGCCAATATACGGCCAAAAAAACAAGAAATCAGAAACTTGACAGGTGCTTCATGGTCACGAACGCGATTTAAAGAAACGAACCTAAGTTGTCGGTGACTTTTGAACTCGGTGAGGTCAAATGTGACCTACACACGCGGAATAAACATGTTTTCTATTTTCTCTTGGGATGTGAGAAATTGCGTTTATGATTTAAAGGAGAAAGGAGAGCTGCTATCAATCTTATATCGAGTTTGACGGCGTGGATCGCTGGTGAAAGCGGTCTTAAATTGCATTATTTTTTAGTTTTGCAAACAGCGAACAGTAGCAGAAGACGTTTAACACTGAAAGTAGGAAATTAGCAATTATAAATGCATGAGAAGTCTTTTAAAGGACATTCTCGTAAACAGACAGCTATATTTACCACAAAGTTTAAGCCGCCCTAGGCAACTTCACCTGTTCTCTTATAAGGCCTTGAGCAAAATCTCTTGCATCTTTCAATTTCAAGAAGTTTTTTGTTCTTTGACATAGAACAAGTGGCACTGTTACAAAGTGTGATGTTCTTTATGCCGTTTCTAACGGATAATTACCACCTCTTTTTGTTAAGCACCCAAGTTAATTTATTTATGAAAAAAACCTTCTCAGTTGTACGTTGTGATGTTACTAGCATTGTTGTTTTCTGCTCGATATCGTTGTCAAACCTCAGTTAATAAGACACCACTGATCAGATTTGAGTTTTCCGCATGTAACTACAAACATTTACAAATTTCACGACAATTTCGGGTCATTGAACGTATTTGTTATTCTGCACACTATCCCACCCATTATCATGTCAAGATTTAAGGGAGAAATAATATTTTGAGATCGAAGAATTTGCTAAACACTTGTTCTGCCAGGAAACCGTCCGCCTTACGAAAGAATGCGTGGGTGATAAATTCTAGGACATGCGCATATGCGTATATTCTTTCGAAGTCGGAATAATTTTGATAAAGACAACAACTGAACGATAGAGGTGACCTTTTTTTCCAAACCAAATATTCTGAACACAGTTCAGATTTTTTTCGCCTGATGTTTATCGTTCTCTACTTTTATTGAATCAATTTTCTTTTAAACGTGCAAAAAGCTTTATTGTGTATTTTTGCATATGTGTTGAAGTCACGATGCCTCGCTTGTCGTGTTAGATTTCGCTTTTACTTTCATTCTTTCGAGAGAATAGTATACTTTTTTTTCAGCAGCGCACAAGTTATAGTTTCGCGTACGTAGTAAAAGCATTTTCGTACCGAGAACAAAAGTCGATTTCAAAACTTTTCATTTGGTGCGAAGTTGTGTGCAAATCGTAAACATTGCCTATTGTGTTTGACTCTCAGCTGTTCATATGTACTCCGGCAGTTTTGTTCATCTGTGGAAGACAAATTAAGGTGAAATGCGCAGTCTAATTGAATTTCTCACGGATGTTGTAAATGACATTTCGTATGTTGTGTGTTTTTTTCGGAAGCGACAAATATTAAATGCTCACGAGAAGATTGAATGCTTGCGCTTCCGTGAAAATTACCTTTCCCAAGCTACTCGGTTACGTTTTAGTGCATCCGATTTTATATTCCCACCACAAAATACTCGGTTCAAAATATCCCAGACCCAAAGTTTAGTTGAAAATTAATTAGGAGAGCGAGGTTTTCGAGACGTTTCTTTTAGAAGTACGGGGTTGTTCGTTTGAGTTTGTTGTACTCGTGTTTATACCCACGTGAAAGATTACAACGCGTGCGATAGTTGTATCAGTGAAGTGCTAAATCATTTTTTTTTTGCCAGAAAATAGCCTTTTCATCGAGATATGTTTAAGGCATGACTTTTCTTTGTCTTTTTTCGCGTTTAAATGGCGAGCGCCGGTTTTTTACCGCAGATGCGTAGCAGTCACGTTTTTTAAAATTGAAATTGGGTGAGTGTTACGGCAGATTTTCAAATTTCCATTCTGAATTATTCGCTTTCGGATTTTCACGTTTTACTGTTGACAATGAGGTGTTTAGGGACGGTATAAACTTTCTAAACCAACCAATTTATTATTTCGTTTCTAAACTTCGTAGTCTTTAAAATTTTCCTGTTACAAGAGACGAAAGTTTGCCTCTTCGAACATGTTCAATCAATTATTTCTAACTTCAAAATCATCTTGTCCCTGTTAATTGTACCTAGCTGAGGCGTTAAATAAGGAATGGAAAGTTTGTGCTTTTTTTTCGTTCCTATGATCATTGAATTTTCTTTGTGGAGTTGAAAATCCCCTTTCTTTTCATTGACTTTTGGTTTAAAAAATTTATGATCTTAAATTCTGAATTGTATCTTGATTTTGATTTGGGTCGGGCAACAAAATTCATTGAGCTACACTTCTCACAAGCGCGAGAAATTGGAGTTTCAACATAGCATTTTTCGCTGTTATCTCCGGCGTCCAGACAAGAAGTGTTACGACTTTTGATTATATACTTATTTTAGCTACTAACCTTTTTTTGGTGGTTACGTTGCGTGTGTTGTAGAAACAACTTCAAGGTAACACTCGTGAAGCCATAGAATTCATCAAGTCTTCTTAAAAGCTCATATCTCATCCAACGCTAGGCATTATTTTATTCCTTCGCCTTTTGTCTTGCGGTATAAATTTTCTCTCGTATCCTGTTGTTAACGATGAAAATAGAAATTTACGCACAAATTTCAATCTACTACGGGTTTTCTACGTCGTTGCGAAGTGATATTACAGCTTAATAAACTTGCATGGACAAGTTGTTCCCTCAGGCAGTTTTTGATGTTATTTTTGTTTTCGATTTTGTTTTCAGGCGTGTTGTCTCGTTTAGATAATTCCTTTTTCTTCCTCGGCTCTACTAATGTTATCTTGTTCTACGGTAATTCATGAATGCCAAGAAAAAGGAAAATTCCGTATACTTTGAATTGCAAATTAACTGTCTTCGTCAAGCAATTAATCTCAATTCGGCTGGTTTGTCTTCAGGGGAATACCATTTCGTTGATGAAGCGACTCTTGTCTTTCGAATCAATCATTGGCTTACACCAAACACATTTCTAATTAAAATTTGGAATTTAATACTCATACGAAAGCGCTTATAAACGGGCTGCTATTTTTTGTTGTCAGAGGAATAAAAGATTCTTATCAGCAGACAGGAGATACGAAAATGTTTTAATGATTCCAAATGTCTCTTCTCGAGGTAAAGACTAGTCAATAGATGAATAGTCCATTTCTTGTGGGAAAGAGTGTCAGTGGAACTTTAATTTAGTTAGAACGTTCAATTCATCACGTTCTCTGAACTCAATTAGTTTTCATCTCTTCCATACGAGTAAATTTAAAATTTCTCGCTTTCAATTTTTTCGCAAATTACGTTTTGATTTGTGGTAATTTCAACCAGGCGAACTCATGAGCTTCAGCTTGTTTCTAAGCCAATTTGCGCCTTCTTGCCTTTTTGACGCTTTTTAAAGCTCTCTTTGTTGTACAATAAAAATTGAACGTGACGGATGTTTTGGAAACGCATTCAAAATTTATGTGTAACCTTTTTACCTGTTATGTTATCAGTGCCTTCCTAATTTCTCCAAGATTCCCCCGGTGAAAGCTTATCAATGCCAAATCTTACGGACACAGATTTTGTCGTAACGTAAAGTAATTTTCCATAAAATTGTAATCGATCAGCTAAATTGACCAACTATTTGATCATCTGACGTCTAGATCCGCACCAACACCAGCTGTTAGACGCAAAATGGTGGTTAATCAACTTCGATTTGATACTAAACCAAGCGGTGTAACTGGCCCCCGACACGGTGAAAACAGTTGTCTTTCGACGCAAATTACCTTGGCCTGTGTAGGTGCTCAGTTTTGTGAAAAAGCACACATCGTGAGTGAACGTTTGTCGTGCTGAGCTACCAACGTAACTTTATTAATTATAAATGCCCCCATTCTACACTGATAAAGATCGCTTGCTTTATCTCAATACACAATAGAAATGAGCTGAAATATATCCTTATTTACAGATATGAAGGCGGAACACTCAATTTCCATAGATTATTCGTGTCCGTTCTCGAATGTGATTTTTTGCTTGAGTTGAAAATGAAGAACAAAACTTGTTACATTTTATTGCCTTCAGAACCATAAAAACATATGATTCAAACATACTAATGACGTGGTGTATTTACAGACTTGTTCAACCATGTTCCGAAAATTGACCGAGGGTCGACCGAATGTTTCACGACATTTTCATATTCCCGAGTTTGTCACCAGAGTGTATCGGGACAGCGGGTTCTGGTATAGGAGAAATATGGACATGAACTTGGTGTTTATGAGAAAAAAAGCAGTTTCGTGATGTGGTGTGATATGGCTGCTTCAAGACACCACAACAACTGAAAAACTAATAATCTTTATCTAGCAATAATTTCCATAAAATCCTCTACAATACAAAATATTAACAGCGAAAAAACGATCCAAAATAACTCACTTTCGGCTCACGTCTACTCCTTTTTTTTAATGTCAAAGTGTCTGGAAAACTACAAATAACAGAGTCAAATCTGAACAGATTCAAAGTCTAATAATCTGATAAGTAAAAGCATATCTAAAACTATACAGAAAAGAGAAAGGTGAATGGCAAATCTAGAACCCTATATACAAGGCTGCTAAAAATCATTAAACAATGTCAATGGCTCCCTCGGCAGCTGCGATTTCAACGTCACAATTATTATAGTCATACGCAGCGCGGCGCTTCACCCGCGATCCTCGAAGGCAAACTAAGGCCGACCGAAGGAGGGCAAAGGATGTCTTTGCTCGGATCCAGGAAATTGTTTGCGAGTATCGTTCCCCTTTCTTGACGGCGATCAGCTCGGCCAATCGGCTGTGGTATCTTATGCATTCCATCCCCATCCCTCCCGTAGTTGTAAATACAAGCGGCGTAAACGAGCCATGCTCAACATCCAACACTCTCCTTGAGTACAGCCGCTTCTTGTCGTTTTCATGGATGCGATAAATCTGCTGTGGTTCCTGGTCCTTGTAAGACTCGGCATTAGGGTGGCAAACCCTCGCATCGAAGAATGCCGAGCTCTGGGGATCCCACTAATGCATTGATGATATTACAAATTTTCTGATCATTTATTTTCGATGATCCGTCGAAGGTCAACTTTATTGTCTCGCGACATTAACTTATACCCGAGTTTTGTCTTATCAACGAATTTCTCCTAACTCTTCTTTAAAAAACAGTCAAATTAATTAACCACAGATACGCCATCAGCTAATATACGTATTTATCATATGACCCGACCGTCCCGCCTACGCTATCATATGTTAAAATTTTCAACTTCCAATATTGTACTTTCAGTGTTCTGATTGGTTCACTCAACTCCGGTGATCAGCTCGTATTCCGAGTCACCTAATATGGAAATGCTTTGCGCCGACTGTAGCGGAGCCGAAAAAAGGCTCCAGATATTCAAATGTTCAGGATTTTATAAACTTTAGCAAAATAATTGATCCATTTGAGCGTGTTGGATACGAGATTGGTTAGAGCTATGTTAAACGCGCGTCAATTTTAAAATAATCGAATGTAAAGTAAGTTTCAGTATGAAAGCTGACGTTTTTGAGGTTGGACGATGGGTTGACCTGAGCTAGTCCGAAAAAGCCGTCGCTTCGTGTTCGTACGGCTTTGTTGCAAAAAAACAAAAACAAAAAACAAAAAACAAGGAAGAAAAATGAGAAACTAATACTTATATTCTTTCAATAAATGAGTTTCTTTTTCTGACCAGGTAAAAAAAGGAAAGGTTTTATTGCATAATCTTTTTTTTGTTGTTCTTGTTCCGCATGGTGTCATACCTAGTGACAACAAAATCATTTGAAATTTTCAAAACTTAGTGTTCATATGATAAAGTGTTTACTGCCTGTTTGCCCCGTCCGTACGTCATGACCTCGAGCCAAATATTTCCCGTCTTACCCTCCTATTCAGGTCAGTAAATAGGCACTCCCTGTTCTTCCATTATGATCAATTTCATATCTTTTTTCAGTGGTGAGACATGTTTTAAATTTATGAGAGTTGAGAGCCTGTGTTTCCCAGTGATATTTGACTGATGTCCTTGAAGTCGATCATTTCTTTCTCAGGGAATTCTAGCGCTGATTAATTCAGCTCTGGATCCGCTGCTTGATGTGATTAGACTTGATTTGGAAAACCACATATTCAAGATGCATTCAGAGGATTTCACAAGGTGTGTCGATGCACTTTTGTAAAAGTATAGAAATTTTCTTCAAGCGTAAGGATTAAGGGCTGACATATAGAGCTCTTCTGCTGAAAGGAGCACATTACATACATACATACATACATACATACAAATGAATAAAGGCTGATAGTTTCGAAAGAAACTGTTTTGGGCTGCGTCGGTGGGAGTAACGAAATAATTTGGATATATCAACAAAGTTGAAATGGTAAATTGGCCACCGTAATGATTACAAAAGCTGACGTTTCGAGCGTTAGCCCTTCGTCGGAGCGAATAGAGGAATTGTGGGTTGTGTGTGCTTTTAAAGGCAGAAAATGGAGCTACGTTATTGGTGGGTGCATGGCAACGAGAAAAACATGAATAAATTAGTGGAATGAAAAGCGTTCATTGATCCCTGTGGGATTTAGACTGCCGGTTTGAAAGATGAGCTTTTGTTCAAGATTTTTACGGCTTTCCGTGCCACCTAAGTGCAAGGAAAGACCGCAGATTGCCATATGTTGCTTAGAATGATT